AGGTCGACTCCAGTGACTGAGTCCCTGTACACTGGAGGAGGTGCAAACCACTGTTAGTGGAAAGTGAATGGAAGAAAAACAGCTCCTCAGAGAGACTCTGTGATCTAATTAGAGACTAAAATAACAGCCATGAGCACTAGTGCTGACCACGCTTGTGTCCCCACACAGACTAAATACATGTCAGGTCTTGGTGTGAGCTGGGTCGTCGTGACGGAGCTTATAGTGCTGTGGAGGCTACCACACTGTGAAACAGAGCCTGAGGCGCAGTGGGCCCATCTCCTCTCTGCGCAGTCATACACTCCATAGTGTTTCAATAATACATGCACCATCATGTGCATGGACGCATGAGAAGGCATGCAGCTTCCGCTAACGCTGCATAAAAGAAGTGAAGAGCTAAATCCTGGCCAACAGCATATTGCTTTATAATGGGGAGATGAAACATCAGACGTACAGCAGTCTTCCTTGAAAAGTTCCACTAGTAAATGAGGACAGTCACTCCCAGGGGCCACGGGGCCAAGAGGCTCTGTGAACTGTTTGGACTGAGGATGGATCAGAGGAGTCCTGTCCACTCTGCTCTCAGCTCTCCCAAATAAGTTGCATTCAAGATGCATTCAAAGCAAGTCTGACTATCTCACATTCTTTAGCAACAAGACAAGAGAAGAACAGATTTTGTTAAGCCAAAATCCCTGAACCAAACAGAAAAGCGTCACCAGGCTCTGTGACGGCTCTGTGACGACTCTGAAAACAGGTGATGCTCACACACCTGACTAATGCATCAGGATTAGCCTCATGTGTTGACACAAACGTCAACATCTATTTGTGTGAGCCACGACTGGAACAGTGTAACATGTGGAGCTTCAGAGACAGAGGAGAGAAGGTCATTGGTGAATATCTTCTTCCAAAAGGACATCCACAGACTATTATCTTATGAGCCACATTCAGTCCAGGGACAAACCTTGGTCATGAATGGGCACAGTGTTTCTATTGACAGCAGCGACGTGTCAAATTTCACCATTACCACTGCATCGTTTTGCTCAGTTTGACTTTTGACCCCTGTCCTTATGATACCTCCATCTCATCCTCTCCTCTTTCTCAGATGCCATATGTTACTAGACAGCACTGCAGTGAAATATGAGCATTTAGAGCAAAGCAAACACTACAGGAACTCCTTTGAGGGTGCACCGTTTGTGAAGCTAAACAACACAATGAAATAGTAAGCCTGCACAAGATTTACCAAGAGTTTACAGCAAAAAGGAGCCAGCTAGAGGCACAACATACAACCAGTAGTAAACAGAATGGCTATTATAATGAGCAGAAGGATAAGTAAATACAGGCAATTCAAACTTTCTTGAACATTTGTGTAGAAACAATGAAAATATCTAATTACAACAATATATCAGTCCACTTATGGGCTATGTTGTCGGGCTGTCAGGTTGTAGGCCTTCAGCCGTTTAGTTGATGAATCGGTATGGTGTCTTAGTTGACCAAAATTTGCATAAGTCAATAAATAATTGTATTTAGACTGGGATTTCTAGGATCTATACGCAACAACAGGAGAAAGGAGAAGTGAGTGAGGGAGTGAGCAGAAGACTAGACATTTTTTGTTTTTATATATAAAAAGGCATAGTTTTTAATCTGCCTTTATGAAAATATACTGTTTCCTAGTACATTTTCTGCGTAAATACTTTTTGAATGAACTCCCATGCAGTAGTAGTCTTGTGAGTGTAGTTTGAGTTAGATGCATAGACATATGTAACAGATTTGAGAGCTTTTGCCATGCCCCTTTTGACAAATTGATCAGCAAGACATGTCTTTAGCCAACCAAGAAATTCCTTAGAGGACAACAGGTCTACTATGTTGTGAGAAGTCTATATCAGAATCATGTACCATTCTAGCATTATATAATGATGAATGAAATATCAGGGCACAAATAAAAAACTGTAATCTGACACTAATCTATCTATTTATATATCTATCTGTCTCTATATCTACGTATGTCTCTATCAATCTATCTGTCTATCTTATCTATCCATATGTTTATATATATATATATATATATATATATATATATATATATATATATTATATATATATATATATATATATATATATTATATATATATATTATATATATATATATATACACACACACACACACATACATACATACATACATATATGATGTCTCATTGTTCTGTATATCTTGAGATTAATTCTAAGTGTGTGAACAATCATAATGAAATGTAGCCTGATGCTGACCTTGCCTTGCTTAAAGGTTAGTCATTGCAAAACAACTGCTTAGCCTAACATACGCCTCATGTGTACAAGCCTGGAGTCATGCACGCTGACCACCACACAGCGCTGACTGGGTCACGTGAATGTGATGTCATCAGTGCAAGTCTCCTCCCAGACCTGGATCTGTCTCATCCGCTCACCATCACCAAACCCAGAGTCCTGGCCTGGACACAACCATAGCCCTGCTCCTGTTTCAGTACGAAAAAAGGAACAAAAGCCTTGGCGACTCACCGGGATATCCTCCAACACAATGTAATATGGTCCTCACTGTCAGGGAAAGACTGTGCACTGGGATTAGAAGAACAACAGTCACAAAAGGGAAGGGAATCCACAATTTTTTTTACTCACCATTACATACACAGTGCAATGTTTTGTGGAGAGATGGTTTCTGAGAAGGTAACAACACTAAAATTCAATACCACATGATAATTCACAATTAAATGCCACAATGGTAACAAAAAACACATGATTTTTAGAACAGAATCAAATTTTTTGCAGGAAATAATATTATAGTATTCCTGTATTTGTTCCGATATACAGTAGATCAGGAACTAGAACTACCATATTCAGGAAAAATCCAATACTATCCTATGACTTTTTTTTCTCAAATGAGTATCAAGTGTCTAGTTTTGATACTGGTTTTAGTGTCTGGGTATCACATATTTCTAATACTATCTGTAATGTATGGTAAAATGCCTGGGGGACTATAAATGGAGGACACAAATGCAGTGGACATTAGCACATGCACAAGCCTCCACATGCTAACTGTGTAAGGAGTAGATTTGGGTCTTGGTGAAGCTAGGTCATACGTGAAGAAGACAGGAACAGTCTGGCTGTGAGGGTCCAGATTGTCCTGCTTTAAAACATGGAGCAGCGTCACGGTTCCACATGAGCTCACACTGACGTAATGTAATACGCTTCAAAAGTCAGGCTATAAATCTAACCGGGAGACTACCACTGTATATTACTGGAATATTAAATTGAGTAGACAGATGTTTTATTAGAATTTAGTTGACTAGTAGAGTCAGGTGTCTTATTGTAATAAACGTAGGCATTTCAAAATATTTTCAGATACTTTGAAAAGACATAATTAAAAATTATGCCAAAAGCCTCACAGAGCATGCAACCAGCAGAGAGTGAAATAGCTAGCTAATCCTTCCACTGTCTCAGCTCAGCAATACATTACAGAAACATCACTGTTCCATATGCAGCCATTATATGTATTTTCAGAAATGAGACATTTTCAAGTGCTATTTTTGTGCAGCAAATATAGAGAACAAAAGCAGCTCTTGAAAGCAGTCCAAAGAGCCATTTTAATTTTAGTGTCAGTAATGTGTAAAGCTTTTGATAAGTTATTTGCGTATCAAAGGGAAATCTAAATAGGGGAAATGACAAGGCCATTAAGCCACAGCAGCCATATGTTGATGTTGAACACAATTTCTTTCATCTGTAATTATACCCTATGGTGCTTTCAATGCACATAAAATGGCTGCCTATAGGATATATGTTTTAAATAGGCTTGACATATACATCAAAAGTTGCCATATCCTTCTTACTTGATACCCACAAAAGTGCCTGTTTGTTTGTAATAACTGAACCACAAGGAACGATAAAGTGGTGCCAAGCATAAATCATGTTCTCCATTACCATTGCTATCTCAAAGCTTTCAGAAAGTGAACTGCAGTGAGTACCAGGGGAGGAACACCCTGCACATTCTAGGCAAGATTAAAAGGCCAATATCCCACAAACCATAAATCTGACTGAAGCAAATTATAGCTTTTCCTTCAAATGAGCAGAGATGAGAAGATTTCAATCATAAACTGTACCCACAGGTTATTAAAAATGTAATTTGACACTAAACTCTCCCAATTAGACTTACATAACAGCACATTTACCAACTTAGAGGGATCCCATTTCAAAGCATTTATCGTGGCATCAGATTACATAACAGATGATTCACAGGAGAAGTTGTGTTGGCTCTCCATCACATACACTTTGTCCAAAAACACTGAGCAATGGGAGAACGCGGACAGTCCAAGCACAATAACATCTCCCAAGCTCAACCTGACAGTAGGGGGTCAGCGGTGACAGGGACAGCACCACGCATGTCCAGCTTTTTACTATGTAGGCTTGTAATAAATCCCAAATAGATTTAATCCACGGGGTTGCTGTTTGTCATTGCCTGCTGAAAACCCAATAGCATCACTGATCAACAACAAACACGTCCCGTCCACAGCACAGGGGGAAATGTCTCCATGGTCCATTAGCCCCGATGCATTAGCAAGATCTATCCAAACAGATCCAATGCACCGCACGCCCTATAAATCATGTTTTATTAAATGTCCAGAAATGCTAACTCAGCGTGCACGGCGCTCACGCATGCATATTACAGTGTTATTAAGGCTCAACTACATGTTAAGAGGAGAGGATTCCGGGTACATAGGAGCTTTAGTTAAACAAATGGTAAAGCTCGTTTTCTTTAAGCTAATTAGCAGCAGTCGCAGTATCATCACCATTGCACCTGCACAACACAGCGCCCTGGGGCGGAGCAGGCGGAGAGGGGGAAGACCAGAGCCAAGGAGGAGATGCCAGCGGTCCCACCACTGCTGATGAGTGGAAATACATGCCAGGCACGTAGTAACACGGGGGTGAAGCCTGCAAGCGCACCAACGGAATGCTACAGCCAAATGGTGGGGCTTTCTTACCTGTGTAGCTCACAAGAAGCAGGGCTAGAAAGACGTCCCTTGACTGGACCATCGTAACTCCCGAGTAACGTGAACGATAAACGGTGTAGCTTGATGTCCGCTCAACCCCAGCGTTTGGATCCCTGTTTCCCTCTTCTCTCAGCGACTGTTCATCCTAATGGGTCTTTCTGAGGTGGTCGGGGATAATAGGCGTGAGTAGCCGCGTCTTGAGTGCGCTTCAGCGGGCAGAGATTAGCGGTGATGATGATGAGCGCCAGAGCTCTGTTCAAAGTCTGACTGACAAGCATGGCCTGCGCACTGCGTGGATCAGTCCGCCACATAAAGCGCAATGGGGCAGCTCGCGTAAAGTAGTGCGCTTTGACCATGGCCGAGAGCTCGTGTTTAGTGTTTAGTGGTGATTCAATGCCACAGAAATATTTGAGTAAAAAATTGTTATTTGACTCATCGGACTATGTTATTATAAATATCAGAATCGATTTTAGATTAAATAAATTAACACACACTGGAGACATTTCTCAATGAATTGTGTTACATTTATGCAGCAGTGGTTATTGCAATCAAATTTTTACAATACTTTCTCAATCTTGAACATGGTGTACATTTGTGTAACCTATTTGATAGACACTAAGCATATGTATCAACTGGGTGTAAAATATGCAACGAGTCTATATAACAGTCAAATTGCCTGATCTTAAGGCTGAAAAAATAAAATAAAATAATACAAAATTTAAAAAACACAATACATACATAGCCTTTTGTGGTTATGAGATGATTCATGTTTATGTGCAATGAAAACAAGCTAGTGAAGGCTGTACCAAATGGTGAAGTTTCTTGAGTGCATCACATGTGCATATTAAACATTGAATTTATATATTTGTTTGACTATTACACATTGAGTTGTTTAACCACTGAAATCTTATGTATGTTTAAAGGTACCATTATGTGAAACATGTATACTTTTAAAGTAATCCTTAGCAGATATAGGTTGTGTCCTTTTAAGAAATTTCATTGCAGAGCAGCAGCAGTGGAGATGGTTCGGCGTGGTGCGAAACTAAACAAACTGGTGATTTACATTTGGCTGCTGTCAACTCCCTAAACCTAAAGGAATGCAGAGATACTCCAGAGAAGATTCAAGGCGTTACCTGTTCAACATATTATTTGCATATTCATATGGATGTCTATAAAATCTAATTTGAGGTATTCAGAGGCGTCCAGATTTGCCTGATTTAAGACCTGTGTAGCCGTAGGCGGTCAGGGGTAGTGATCTGACCCAGAGCTCTGTATTAGAATTGTATTGTTTAGGGAATAAATTATTTTTGATTTTAATCAATCGATTCCAGTGGTTATTTTTAAGAGAACACGCTTAATGGTTTTTTGAGGATACCTAACACTAGCTATATGTTCCCACCAAGACTCCTAGAATAGATCAAGGAAAGGTTCCCATGGACATTGCCTATTCTGGTGATGCCACACTTTTGTGTTATGTCTAAGCAATACAGCATTTTAAAAACACATGCTAGCATAGTCGTGTTAAGTGTTACAAATGAAACTTATATAGGGCCATATGTTCTTTGTAATCTGAAGTGAAACCTGAGGCACTCTGCACATTGGAACTCTCTTACTACACATTAATGATTCATCCATTCACTATACATCTGCTACAACTCCATTACTGGCCTGTCTCCTCTATGAAAGCATTGTTATTTTTACCACAACTCATCACAATGGAGAATACACTACTAACCCAATATCCCTGAGTGATAGATGCCAGGGTTAAAGCTCTAATGGTAGTTTGTTTGCTGCCACAGCATTTCTAAAGCATTTTAACTCTCACATGTTTAAATCATTATTCACAAATAGAGAGAATTGAAGCAAGTATTAGACAAATTACTCCAAGGTCAAATCGTGCACAGTTTAGAAAAATACAAATACTCAGGAACAATGTAGCTGAACATTTGTGGAATGCTGAATACTTTGGTAAGGAAAAAATAGAAAACAATGACATCTTTCCCGTTTTTTTTAAACTACAATGGATCTTTCAGCTAGCCAGTGACCATACACAGATGCCATGAGCTTAACAGTGATGTAGGATCAGTTTTGAGTGTGGGCCTTTTAGAGCTTACAATCGTGACAATACACAGTTAATCGCATATGTATCAAATACCAAACAATTTTAAGTGCATTGTGCTGCATTTAATTTGGGATACACATATTTAATTATACTGCTCTTCTTGACAGAGTCATCTCCATATATCTGTCTTGGTGGTTAAAATCCAGACCATAAAATGCAGTCCTAGAAGAAAATTAGGCTTCAATTTCTCAAAATATTATGGTCAATTGGTCAACCACCAACCACAGGGTGTGCATGCTGCAAAAATTTGATTTTAGTGGCAGTTTGCAGAAATGATTTGAAATCGAGTGAAATAGAAGAGGTGGTAAATCCTGAGCAGGCTAGGGCCACTGTGGGGGGTGAGAGGAGGCGGTTTGAGTGACATTCTAACATGATAGCAGTGAGTCAGGTGATGACTCAGCCATAATATACACTACACATGCCCTCCAAATACAGTCTTGATTTTAATGTAGCCCACACTCAAGCTGCAGAAAAAAGGTTGTTGTTTTAAGATGTCAGAGTGTTAACGCTTGATTTTAGAGTCCTGCCTTCTCATAAGAATCAATATATAATGTGATTGTAAGATATAGGGTTAAATTAAATTGTTGTTGCCAAAGGTTAAAAAAAAAATAAATAAATAAATAAAAAAGAGAGAGAGAGAGTGAGACCTATTATCTATCTTGCAACAACATGAAGACCTGATTCTTGTTATACACTTTTATATGAAATTAATGATGTCGCTAAAGTCTTGTCACAGTGGATATAATATGGCATTCAATACTATAGGCCCTCCTACAATATTACAATCAATAACAGTGTGAGGTGTGGTAATACTGTACATATTGGTATTGTTACACAGCCCATTAGTGTTTACATTCAGTGCTTCTCTCACAACTTACAACCCACTGTAGCTGGACTGTAGGTGCTTTTGCTTAAGAGCAAGAACAAGTACTTTGGGGCTGTAGAGATATTAAAACGTCACCATTTATTCTAGCTCTAAAAATGTTTTATTTTAAGATATGTAGGCCCCTTCTAGTCAGAAGCCCTTGGCTTCATTCTAACCTTTCTTTGCCCTTCTGTGTGCTTGTTTATATCAGGTTGTTCTATTGTCAGTGTTGTACTTATATACTCTATGAGAAATTGATGTGATCTCAGAATAGTTGTCCAAACATGTCTTTTAAAATAGCTCATACCTCACTGTAAAATGCACAGCAGCAGCATCAAAAGCAAGAATACATCACTCTATCAGAAAATATATGTATGCTATATTTGTGAAACACAATAGGAAAATTTGATAATTACTTATTAGTACTATTTAATTTTAAAGTTGCAAAGCTGCAAATCTCCATGGAGATGTTACTTCCTTACCTAGAATTTTACACAGTAGGGCATTAAACCTATCTTTTTTGCATTTATTCAAGGTGTTTTTATTGTTAATAATAAATGACATTCATGCATTCACTTGATAAGAAGGGTCACCTCTTTACAGATATGAGCTATGTTGACCTGGTGGCATAACCTGCTTGTCTCCATGGAGATAAATAAGTTTAATCCATACATGGAGTAGTCCAGGAATAGATATTTTATCTCCATGAAGACAGTAGGTGGCGGACCATCCACCACAAAATGTACATACTGCACCTTTAACGTGAATCACTCCATAACAGGGGTCTCCAATTTGAAGCTCAGGAGCTACCAGTAGCTCTCCATCCCCTTCCAAGTAGGTCACCAAGGGATTTCAGAATTATACCATTGTGCTGAATAACAAAAAGAAAAATTGTTAACTACATGGCTGTTACCATTGCAAATGTATAATTTTGAATAACAAATAAATAATAAATAATAAATAATATATGGACAATGGTTTATGCTTTATAGGCCTCTAACTGTACCCCAAGGTTTGCCCTTTTCCTTATAATTGTCTCAATTTCTTGCAGCCGCTAAAATGAGTAGCTCTCTGGCATTTTCATTTTGTAAAGGTAACTCACTGGAGGAAAAAGTTTGGAGACCCCTGCTTTATAGATATATTTGTATCTGTAGTTTATTTGTTTATTGATCAGGGACACTGCACATAAAAGAGTGAACTACACAAAGAGGTGTTCTTGGACATTAACCTTTACAGTATAGCTGCTGGGATAAACTCCAGTGTGATAAATGTAGGCATATATCACAATTAAATATTTGTTATTATCAGTGGCAACATGTTAACTGTGAAGTGATATGTGATTGTGACTGTTTAGATTGAATAACAGTGGTGCACTGTGCAGCCTTTAGTCAGCCACAATGATCAAATCTCAATAAAAGATTGCAGCTATCTCTGTGCAAGTGTATCTTTGGCTTTGAGTAGGACATGGAGTTGCGGCACAGTGGATTCCTTGTCCGGAGTGTCCTGCCCAAGCGCACAGAGCATCTTTGTGGACAGCAGATATTAATCTCCACATGCAGGCTGCGATCAGGGGGAGACTGGCTAAGCTCATGCACACACTCAGTCCCATACATATTCATTATGTAACTGTCAATGACACACTGCTCTGTGCAATCCGTCATCCCTCTACCACCATGTCATAGTACACAAGGTTTAAGTGTCTGTATTGTGCTCACTGAAGACACAAGGGGTCTTTGCCATGGTTCTTGTATACAGTAAAGCCACACAACTCAGTGGTCTATAATGATTTTATCCCAGAAAATGTTACTTTTGAAATACAGAATACATAAATGTATATTGCATATATGAATTAGAATAGGAATACTATTCACAAATGCAGATGTGTTGCATCATTGAGAATTGTACTGTGGTTTAGAATGAAACTGTAGAAAGCATTAAAAAAGTATCTGCTGCCATCTTGTGATATGAATGGACTTTTTCTTTCACATATTTATTTATTTTTGAATACGATGACGACACAAATTTTTAAAATGCAATACAAGCTATTGAACTGAAGAGGGCAGCAAGTATCTAAGTTATTGTCTTCAA